GGCAGCAAATGCTCGCTGCAGCACACCGTGGTGAATGGATTTCCGCCAGATAGGACTGCTGTACTGCAAACGGGGCAGTGCCAAAGAAAAGCAAAATTCTCGCATCCAGTATTTTAAGAGCTGCCTAGGCTGGTACTTGTACACAGGCTCTGTTGCACCATTACTTAGTGCTGGCTGGCTGTCACTGTCTCTTAAAGCTCTTTAGCGAGCACAGTCTAGACCTCAGTAACAAAGAGCTTTTGCTTCACATTGTATGTTAGCAGTCTTTGTGTGCAAAGGGGACAGACTCCCATATGAGAAATTCAAAGCGCACAAACCTACCAGCAGTAGCTGAGACCTAGGATCATCAGTCTAGGGATGGGCTAGATAGGTCTTTCCTGATTTTTTCAAATCAAAGTATTAGTAAACAGTCCTTGAAAAAACAAGCAAAACACAAGGACTATAGGTTTAAAAACACTGGATTAGGTAAGAGTTAAAAATCAAAGTACCAAAGAAACTACGCAACAGTGACACTCCCGAATAGGTATAGAAAGCCCCTGAAAAACATATAGCTTGCAAGACAGACAGAATGGATAGGAGAAGGACAGTGAATGGAAAGAACAACTGATTGAGGAGGAACGGGAAGTTGGACAGAAGGAAGTCAGAGACTTGGCACACAAGCCTGCAAGTGGGAAGTGACAGAACAGAATTATGGAAAAAAAGACATCACAGAGATCTGGAATGGGAAAGGACAGATGAGAGGGAAAAGACAGAAGAGTCTGAGCCTCATCTAAGAAATGTACATCAGAACATAAATCCATGTTTTTTAATCTTTTTTTCTTTCCTGACAGCTGAAAACTAATGAAACCTATGCAAGCGATTAGCTTTAGGTAGATCACAGAGCAACTGCAATATTCCTTTATGCCATCATTCTGCCACAAGTGATGAGACATGATTTATGTGAAGCATTTGCAGGACAAAGGCCATCAACATTAATAATGTTACAGTTTATACCAGCAGGAGGAAACAGCAACTCCTATGGCTTCCATTCTTTCCTCTATGCTAAGCATGTCTACTGCTATATGGAAGGTTTTTTTGAACAATGTTGATTGCAATTCACAAATTGAATTTCTTTTTAGCTTGAATTCACAGCTAGTGTTTACTTCTTTTTTAAATGCATTTGCATCCCAATAAACACTGAAAGTCAGGTCTTTACATTTATACACAATAGGAAGCTTTTCACTGTAAAAATATTGTTCCTTTTGTACGGCCTTTAAGGCTAATCACTTCTTAAAGTGGCAATTTAAACTCTGTTCTGTCAGTCTGCCATGATGAGCAGTAGTTACTCACACAATCCCACTGAATTTGGTTGGCTATACACTTGAGTATACAGTGTGAATTAACACCGGCAGAAATGGACTAAGTGACAATTTCTCCAATTGTACAAAAAAGAGACTACAGATAGATAAAGGAGTTCATATTTGCTTTTCAATACTGAACAAAGCTAAATTCTATTTTCACTCATACTCTACATTATCCCCTCCCATCCCCTGCTGTAAAGCACTACAATGCATGATTTTTAAAGAAGCTTCCTAATTTTACAAAAGTTGCTGACACATTCCACTAAAACACAAAGGGGGCCACTCCTGCCTTGGAGATAGCAGGGTCCAGCCCCACCAGAATCTTGTCTTTGTCATTCTGTTGGCGTGCCTGAGTCCCATTTTCCCTTGCCACTCATGCGGACGGTGCAAACGCTAGCATTAAAAGGAGTGACTGAGACCCAGCCCCAAGCAACGTGTTTCTTAGTTTGCTTCATTTGGGTACCACAGTACACAGGAAATATTTGAAAACACCCTATCACACTAGCTCTTGGTGAGCATTCTGCTGACTCTCCCCAAGCCCACAAACTCAGGCACGCAGCAAACTCAGGCATGAAAGAGAGAGTTATTATGCAGCAAATTCAGCACAGGAGACGGTTACAAGTCCCAGCATCCTGGCTGTCCTGTGATTTCGGTCATGGGGCACCATGGTGAGACTTTACCATATAACTGTGCTTCAGTTGTAGTTCTAATGGTGGAGTTGTTTTGTACAATATTTTTGTACAATATTGTTCTCTTAAATATCTGTTGGATATGTATGTATACATACATATCCATTTTGTCTACTATAAAATTTTGTTTTCAGTCTTTAGGGAACATTAAAGCCATCACTGAAAACGAAAAAAGTGACCCCCATCAATTCAGATTTCCCTAAATTCACCATCCTTTTCTCCTAATGAAAATAGGATATGATTACTTTAGCTGTGCATTTGAATACGCTAAGTTATCTTGCCACATCGAACCCTTTCACTTTAATAGAAGTGTAGCGATTCATTTCCCAGGAAGGATCAGAGCGTTTGTCTTCCACATAACAACAGGGGCACAAGCAATTTCTCACACAGAACTTCAAAAACATTGTCATTCCTATACCAGCATGTTAAAATTTGTACTTTAAAGAGTGCAGATGCTTTCAACTATTGCTCCTGACTGATACTTACTGGGCTTAACTGCATCTAAAAATTGTTCAGCGGTATTTATGACATTAGTCAATACTTCTGTATCAGCAGTGCAGAACAAACAGCTAATTGATGGAATGAAAATGGAAAGCGACCACTTAGGTATAACACTTTTCCAAGAAGTTCATAGTTATTGTTATACTTTTTTTTTTTTCATTTACAATAAGGTAGGAATATAAAAGAATGCTTGGCTATATATTATGTTTTTGAGACAGAACTAAAATGAAAATCTTCATAAAAGCCACACACAGAATTTAAGCTCCAGCTTCCAAAATTAAATCATTTTTAGCTAATTACTCACAACATATGTACTTAAAACATGAGAAAAGAATGCAATTTTCCCTTCATCCTGACACTCAAAAACATCCTGCACTGTTTTTTTCTCACACTTGGCTAAGCCATATACTTCCTTTCCTTGCTTGGATGCATATGGCGCAGATGACCAAACAAAAAGATAACAAACATGGCAGAAAACTTGTCTTTTCTGGTATGGCAATTCTTACGCTGCCTCTATCTACATCCGGTATCACCCACTCCCTGAAAAGTCCTCCCCACCATCAAAAACCATATTACACCGTAGGAACATCTGGACAAAAACAATCACTGTCTTCTACGCATTAGCGCATGACTAGACCAGGAAATACAATTAATGATAAAACAGCGATGAAATAAAGGTATTCCGGGGATTGAAACTGCGGAAAAACTTCAGCTCAAAACATTTAACAAGTAAATTACAATAAGAAGCCTTGTAACTTACTCATTTCTATCTATTTGCTAATTATTTTTTCTACACTAAAGAGCAATTCCAAAGCCCACAGATATCCCATTATACCTGTAACTTTTATTACTATCTATACTACTCTTTTTCTGGCGAAAAGACAGCGCACGGACTCTAACATTAAACTCCAGGACCTGGGGCTGTAAGAAACCCCCAGTGACAACGCAGGGGACCAAGGGTCGGGAGGCAGCGGAGCGGCCCGCGGTAGCTACGCGGCGCCCCG